CAGGAAAAAGATGGGAATTTGTTATTCTCCAAATATGCATCACCGTTCCTTTTTGTGTGTGCCAATAGGAGGTCAATCCTAAGCTACCACCTTCTATCAAATGTAAACAGAACAGGAAAATGTGACATACGTTATTTAAACTACAAATTGCCCAAAGAGTGATGTCTTGTCTGATTTACTTCAAACTTAGGCTGTGCCTGAAGACAGAGACTTAGAGGACCATGAGTAACAGCGCAATCAAGTTTGCCTATTACAGACTTGAAGTTCCATCAGTCCTTGCCCCTGGCTGTAGACCAGGGATGGAAATGGTGTTAAAAGGCAAAGGGAGAGATGGCTCCTGCAGCAATTAGTTCAGTTGTCAATATACTAACTCTCTGTGTGACAAAACAACCAATTTTTAGTCTAATAGATGGTTAAAACTATGTATGTAAGATGACTATGTATGTCAAGGGATGGATAAGGATTCATTCAGAACTTGGGATGAAAAGCCAGCATACAACGGAAAAAGAGCTCAGAAGGCGTGAAAGACAGAAGATGCACCATTTTCAGGCAAGAAGGGAATACCTCTCCAAATTTTAAACATGGACAAATCCAATCTGAATGAATGAAAGTGTAAGTATGGCTATTTAGAGAGTCAATAATGGTTATTTTAAATGACCAACCAACTGAAATATTATTGTAACTAGGCAAGTCATTTAAGACAAGAATAAATTACTTGATTTGTTATAATGTATCACACATGTCCTGCAGTTTAACTATACATAGATTGCAAGATGTATTTACTAAACAAAAAACGTGTAGCAAATTAAAAATTCTATTGCAATATTCAAGCTACAACAGCCAAAATGAGTCTATAGCGAAGTTGCTGATTTTTTTCCATATCAGCATTTGACTAATTTTAGAATTTTATTTTTTCAGATAATGACAAATAAACCTTTGTGAGCATGATTGCATTGCTGCTTACATACTAATTAGATATTTTTGTGTGGAGTTTTGTGATTAATTCAAGCCCACTCTTGCATATGAGTAGCACTGATGTAGAGCTGGTTGACACTCTCACTCAATACCTTTAGCAGGGGTGCCCAAAAGGTAGATCCCCAAATAATTTAAAACTACAGCCTCCATGATGCTTTGTCATTCTAGAAGAAGGCAAAGTATCATGGGAGTTATAGTTCTACAACATCTGGGGATCTACCTTTTGGGCACATCTGCTTTAGAGCTACTAGAAAAGACAGACACCACAGTAAGGAATTATGTCCATATGAACTTGGGTCATAGTATGAGATGGCCCCTCTAAAAGATGGATCACTTGGAAAACATGTTCCAGGACAAAATTCACGAAACGTGCATTAGATGATATGAGGATTAACTGTAAGGCTTAACAATATATAGCACATGTGTTTTATCTAAATCTTGGTGAACCACTATATACACCTTAACTAGACATCTTGCTTTATATTGAGTTAAAAAATGGAATTCACATTATGTCAATTTAAAACATTTCAGTCATTTTAGTTCCTGATGAGGTTGTTATGTAAAGGGGTGAACTTGGTCATTCCTCATTATTATTATAAAAATACATGATATAGGCAGTATCGGAAAAATAAATAATTTAGTGACAATGTCCTCTAACCATTGTTTAAAATAAATTACTCAATACACTTTTTTGTTCTATAAATGTACCATTAGACAGAAGTAGGACATGTAATCATTAATCAGAGACTGACACTATTTTACTTATCATATCATAGCATGAGAATCGAACTCAAATCCAGAAAATGATGATTGCTGAATTAAACTCTTCAACGAGTCATGATGACTCTTGCAACTGAGACGTTCAAAAGTGTTCAGAGTTCTCTTAGGTTGCCTCTATTTTAAATGGCAAAACTGGCAGACAGAACTGTGGAGCTGTGACATAATTTCAATGACAGGGTTACACGTATGCCACATGACATAATCCTGGCACTTGTGCCAGCCTACCTCAGAATTAGCTTACTTCACTCCATAAAACTGTGTTTCAATTCACAGAAAATCATTCTATTTATCCATTGTGGTATTGGTCAAAGGAAGAATCGGAAGAAATTTGTGGGTACCTAGGGAGTTAAAGGAACATGCCACACACCATACCCACTACATATAAATACCTGCATTCACATACAGCCTAGCGTAGAACACAAATACACACACCTGTATACATTCACGCTAACAATGCACAGAAATAGATCACTGAATTCACACACTAATTCTAACAAAGTGCATTTCCCTTCATTTAGAAACACTGACCTTTTACAAAATACATTTATATTGGCAGAGCATATTAAGCAACACACATGCATTTGCCATTGACTTGTTTTAGACATCTGGCAGTTCAGTTGCAAAATTTAAGACAAAGTAATTATCATAGTAAATAACAGTTAAGTGTTTGTCACTGGACCAATAAGACATGAGTCTGGGGTGTGACTTTAAAGGGACAGCCACTGTTAACAGACACGGTGGCAGGTGGCAACTTTGGAAAGCTAGATATATTCATTCCCTTTTCTGAAATGTCTTTCTCTCCCCTTTTTAATTGGAGAATCAATACAGTGTTTGAGCTGGCTTATCCCAAAGGACCCTTGACCCATAATCGATCCTTGCTTTAGCTTACCCTGCTTCAAAGTCTCCCTTACCTAAGTGACCTATCAAAAGAGATATCAAGACTTGCTAGCCATGCTTCTCCTAGTTCTTGCTGCAGCAGAAAAAAATAGGTAAGGCTACCTCCCAACTTCGGTGTCTGGCAAAAAAGTAAAAGAGAGCACCTATAGAACTGACAGGCAAATGCTGTCCAGATTACCTGCCAATGAAGTAGGAAGGCCAACAACGGTACAATGCAGGGAGCAATGTTTCAGTACTCTCTGCAGGGTCCTAATGCTCTGAGCATATTGCAAGTGCATCTAATAATGCACTCACACTATGCTTGATGGGAAGCGTTTCTTGTTGTCCCCAAAAATTGGAATAGCAGGACAGGACATGAAAATCGGGGCTGTCCCACAGAAATCGGAATGGTTGGGAGGCCTAATACTGTAATGAGTATGTGTATGGTTTGTTTGTGTTTTACTATATAGTTATGAATAATGTGTATAGGCTTCAGAACTCAAACACAAATGTGCAGCTTTTAACATATATATACCCACATACATTCTAGACATAGAAAACACACATAGATTAAAGCAGCTGTGTAACTTTTGGGGGTGTTTTCATATTATGAAAAGATCTCTGAAGGTGACATGCTCGCTTGGTGTGCATTTGCTCAGTGGAAAACATGAAGCTGCCTCTTGCAGGCGTTGATATCTTTCTCATGTTACTCTTCTTCAGTTCCCAGTGCTTCATGCATCAGGACCAGTTGTCACTGTCCTACACTCACACATGTGAAGACTACAACTTTGTTGGATTCTCCATATAATGTATCTCTGGATACTGTGGGAATTGACATTTTGTCAATAATTTTTCACCTTAAGACTTTACCCAAAAAAATGAAAGACCTAACTTTGTCTTATGATATCTATTGATTGTGTTGGTATTTCAATGAAATATAAAACAGCTCTGATGAGCTTTTCATCAAGATAATATCTTAATGAATAATAAATATTAAATGCTAGTAATAAATTAAATACTCAAAAGTGACTGAGTCCCTTTGACATGCTCACGGCTTTATTTACACATTTACACAAGGGTTCTATGAATGAGGTGTCAGTTAGAAGGGGGTTTAGAGAAGAGGACAAGGTTTGAAAAAGTGCGGTTGGTGATTTGGCACATTACGCACAAAGGTTTCCACAAGCCTTGTTAGAGTAAGGCTTGAAGTTAGGCCATTTTAAACTAATCTGTACATTTTCCTCTTCATTCACTTACAATTAATAAACCTCTGTGCATTACTACAGTTATATAATTCTTAATAAATCAATTAAAATAAAGTAAAGATAATTTGATTCAGTTTTGACTTGTCATTTTAAGTTACCTATTGATTAACCCTGTAAGGACATTAGCCAATTGTACAAGTTGTGATCAAAACAAAACGTGAACAAAATCTTCAATTTGCGCAATATTTCTGTTCAGGTGTAATTCACCTCTTTCATATTACATGCACCCACACTTATCATTTTGAAAACAGGGGCAACAGGGCTTTCATGTCACATCAAATATTTGTATATTAAATTTAATATTTAATATGTATAAAATATAAAAATATAAAGAAAATTAGAAATGTTATTTTTTTAGTTCTGCATGGTATTTTATCTGTGAATGTCACAATACTGTTAGCTATTACTGCAATAAAGTACACATATTTGTATTCAGCGATGTCTCCCGGGTAAAACAGTACCCCCAATGTATAGGTTTTATGGTGTGTTGGAAAGTTACAGAGTCAAATAAAGCATGTTACATTTTTCAGTTTATACACATTGGAATTTGCCTGACTGGTTATGTTGCCTTTGAGACTGTATGGTAGCCCAGGAATGAAAATTACTCCCATGATGGCATACCATTTGCAAAAGTAGACAACCCAATGTATTACAAATGGGGTATGTCCAGTCTTTTTTAGTACCCACTTAGTCACAAACACTGGGCAAAATTAGCATTCATATTTGTTTGTGTGTGAAAAATGCAAAAAACGAAATTGAACGCTAATTTTGGCCAGTGTTTGTGACTAAGTGGCTACTAAAAAAGACTGGACATACCCCATTTGCAATACCTTGGATTATCTACTTTTGCAAATGGTATGCCATCATGGGAGTAATTCTCATTCCTGGGCTACCATACGGTCTCAAAGGCAACATAACCAATTGGGCAAATTTAAATGTGGAAAATTAGGAAATTCAAGCCTTATATTTGACTCAGGAACTTTTGAAAACACCATAAAACATGTACATGGGCGGTATTGTTACACTCGGGAGACTTGGCCGATACATATATGTATTTATAACGTCATTCTAAATGTATTTTGAATTTATTATATATGTATATTAATATCAAAATACATATTAAAACATATATTATTTGTTTTTAAATGTATTTTTTATTTGATTTTTGATTAATTGCCCTGCAGGTAATGCATAAGCCTGCTATTCTGGCCATGTGATCTCGAGGACTGCGCGATCAAATGGCTGGGGGGGGGGAGAAGGGGGCTCGAATCAGGCAGAGGGTGTCTGCCTTAGCTCCCAGGCAGACCCCAGGATCGCAACCACCGTCGGGGGAATGGTAGGGACCCGGTAAATACAAAGGACAGCTGTGACGTTCTATGCCCCCTGCCGGCGTTTAGGACCGCCTAAAAAAAGATGGCATAGAATGGTTAAACAATGATATAAATTTTATTTTTTAAGTCAGTCCAGCAAACAAATGTATCATCTTGCTATACTGTAATGGGAAACACATTATATGACACATTCCTGCTCTTTATAATATACCATAATCAGCATGTAACCTTCAGAAAATCACTCATTCATCATATGGCTATTCATTCAGTCAAGCTAAATAGTTTAAATTAGGGGTTGTAGTCTAACACTCTCACTAGATTATGAATCAGAAGTCTGAACATTTTCTTTCTGCCTACAGTTGGAAATAACACACAAATCAAAAATAAAAAAACAAGGAAAAGTGAAGTGCAGGAACTTCCTCAAAAAGAACCAACATTTAAAAAATATTTATTTTGAGAAAAAGGCACACAACATCAGCAAAGAAACAAATAATCCCGAATTATAGGTGTCATACATCTGTGTCTAATTTTGAGTACAGATTAATTCATTCTGATTAAATGCAAATTAAATTGTTAAATTGTTGTTGCGTTATGCAGTGAAAACTAGACTGGTGGGATAATCAAGGCAACCAGGCAACCAAAATAGTTTGTATTTGATTTGAATGACCATATTCTCATTTCAACCAGGAACACCGAAGAGTTACAATGCTGCAAATACACATTGGGAAAAAGTGCTTAGGTGTAGGTTTGTTAATTAACCCTTTATTTCAACCTGACTTTGACTTGTGATGTTTCCTACAAGCATTAGTGATGCAATTAATGACACTTTAGTAGAAACTAAAGCAATAAGTCAATATAAACTACATTTGCCAATGTGTGCAACTGAGGACTAAAGGACAGCTGTGACGTTCTATGCCCCCCACCGGCGTTTAGGACCGCCTAAAAAAAGACGGCATAGAATGGTTAAACAATGATATAAATTTTATTTTTTAAGTCAG